ACGTTACATATTTTATTTTTAAGGATGTATTATTTACAAATGTGTATAGTTTTTGTTATTTGTGCTTATGCTCCACAGCTAGCACAGTATCACAAAAAAACATGTTTCATGTGTTTATGGTAATTGTAATTCCTTCTACATATCCAGCAAAGTGTCATTAAGTCTAAATGCTCGTCCGTGTCCTCATGTAGGACTCGTACTCGGGTTGTCTTTCCGTTCGCTCTATTCACACTTAGAGTTCACCTCCTCATCGTCACCGCTCCGTGTCTCCCCGTTCGCTCCGTTCCACCGTCCGTCATTAACGACACTCCCTGTCTCCCCGTTCGCTCGCTCCGCTCCGCGATTCTGCTCCGCTCTCTCTCCGTCTCTCCCAAGGTCCGTACACTTCTCTTCTATCCTACTCTCTTCTCTCTCTATCACTGTTACCGTACTCTCTGCTCTATCTATCACCGGCCACCATCACTCCAACTTCAACCAAGACTCCCGTCTCTACGTTTTACTCTATACTTTTATATCCACACCAATCAGTCCCAATCAATTATCTCCCCCCCCCCCCCCCCCGCTTTACCACTCGCCCCCAGGCCCCCAGCCTCACGTGACTTTGTTATTCCCGCCTGAGCGGCGCCAGTCATTAAGCACTCACCCTCTTAACCAATCACCGGCCTGTGTCCCCCGGTTACCCCTAACACCTGTCGTGCCTCTTAACGGCGTCTCCCTCACGCCCAACAACAACAACACCATCCTCAAATACCCCCCACTGTACACTGCTCTCTTGCATAGCAACAGTACAAGAGAACGCGTGGCGCGCCATATTTCAAGTCCTACACTTATATGTGAGCATAGTAAAACACCATTACATAGAAACCCCATACAAATATGTGGATTACACCAAGGCCGTAATTATAATATATATTGGGTGGGACACAGTATCACAAAACAACATTGGGGGGGACACATCCCCCCAATATTCAAATATGCTCAAAATGTCGTCGTCCCCAATATATTGCTATGAAAAAATTGCTATTCTATGTAAATAAAGATAACAATTTGCTAAACCTTGGCCACAATTACTTCATTACACATTCCTGCGGAGGGAACTGGTAGAAACGTTGGGTTACTCGGTCAATGGCCAGGATCAACGGCGGCGTGGTGTATTCCGCAAATATGGCCGACTGTGAGAGCGGGCACAAGCCGGCGTGAGCAGGTTAAACGTTGAGTTTTATAAGGGCACCACGGGGTGACCAGCCCCTCCCCACCCAGCCCCACCCCTCCCAACCCCCACCCAGCCCCACCCTCCCCACCCAGCCCCTCCCCACCCTCCCCACCCAGCCCCTCCCCACCCAGCCCCTCCCCACCCAGCCCCACTCTCCTCCCTGCACGACGGACGGACACAATAATCCCCTGTGGGCTGGTGTAACCAGGAGGTTCCTACCAGTGTAAACCAATGCATAGATGTATGTTTATATGATTGTGGTTATGGTTGTACTTTATTAATCCCTAATTTCTGCCATTACATAGAATCAAATAAGAAATGGTAAAAAAGTAAAAACAGAGCAATGTAATACAATACACTATTAGACATTATTGTAAAAATAAAATAAAAGTCCATTCCATGTGTTACTGCCTTTTTTATATTTTAGGCAGGAAATGAGTTTTCAAATTTAGATATTTTTCTGGGTTGGGACCCTCAGACACCCTGGAAGATTTTGTCCCCCCCAATGTTGACTCCATGGCTATGGCCTTGGATTACACACTCAGAGGCATACACATAGATCATCAACGTGCTTGGTGTACTTCCATCCACTGGTTACCTCAAATCCTTGCAGGTTGAATGTCTCAGTCTAATCCATCAACCCACAGCATCGACACTGGATTTCAAGCCCGCACAAATGCACCTAAGTAAAATTAACCTAAAAATTGGCAGCATGACGAATTAAAATAAGGAGTGGTATTTGACAGCAATTAGAGATTAATTATGTAGAATGTTGCTTTTGTTTGTATTAAAGGTGCCATACTTAATAGTAATCTGCAGTAGTTGTTTGCAAATGACAATTACGATTATAGCGTATAAAGTAGCGTATAAAGTATTACAGAGGAACGCTACGTTTACATGCATATACATTTGGGATAATAAATATTTGGTAATTTTTAACCGGCATATACCTGCAATGAATGAGATGATGAAGGTTTTGTTGTGCAAGATTTGAGTATTTGAAGTTATTATTTCACAGCATAATTTACGTTGTTCTTGCCTTCTTGTATACGGCAGGGTGGAAAAGCCACAATTTTGACATACTGTATAGTATAGTTCAATGCTAAGTTTATAACATATACAAGGAGGTAGTAGATGCTGTGTGGGTCACAGCAACACCGTTAGGATGCGCAGGGCGCCATGGTGGCAAGATGTTAACTACCTCACCCAGTATACAAGATATCATGGATTTGATTCCAACCCTCACGCCTGTATTTGGAGTTTGCATGTTCTCTCTGTGGTTGCGTCGATTTTTTCTCCAGGTCCTCCGGTTTTTTCCTCCATATTTAGAAACATGCGTCTCGAGTATTCGACTGCTATACATTTCCACGTGGTAAGCCACTTTGTTGAGCTATCATTTGTGGCCAGGTCGCTTCTGAAAAAGAGCAATAGCAAAACAATGTTTAGTTTAATTTAGGATGGCGCATTCGTCGGTGACGCGTTTGATGATTTGGACTTCACCATAGTCGTAGTGCGGCAATTCATTGATCTTCCATGTGTGAAAAGTGGACTAAAATCTCCCATGATTCAAGGTTTAGCGTGATCCACAGTTGTCGTGGGAGAGAGAAGACCGGTACTTCTAGAGTCAGGTCCTCAATGAGGTTTTTGGTTGCTCCATCCATTGCCGCCCACAATTCTGTCCAGCGAGCCTTCTTTCTCATGGCTGATGAAGATGCAGAGCAACAACTACAATTTCACATTCAGATGGTCAAGCCAGATAACAGCTTCAGGAGCAGCGGAGTGTATCTCTGTGATGTCTCCTTTGTATTTGTGGATCGGGCACTACGACCATGAGCTTCGTGGATATCAAACCCAGGGGTTCTTTACGTTGGAGCAGTGCTAGAGCGGAGGTACACATCCAGAAAGGCTTCCTGCATTTCAGCATATGGCGTGAGGGTTCTTTTAGATCTTGTTGAAAGGCAGATGTTCACACCGGGCGGGCCTCATGGGCATTCAGGAAAAACGCAGAAGAGGCAAACGGGCCAGACTCTCGTACTGACCTGGTTACTGGAAGTCGTATATTGGCAAAATCAATTATGGCTTTCAATAATACATGTTTTCCGACAGAATGACAACTGCAGAACAATCTCGACATCCTGTATTCCCCAAGCATTGAGAATGTAACAGCAAGCATATTTATATTAACTTGCTGTGAAATATATGTTGTGGGATGTTTTGTAATTTAACACATCCCATGGCTAAGCATCGACAGACTATGAATGTAATTATGTTATCAGGTGACAATCCTTAAAGATGCATGATTTTATTTAGCAAACCAGATATTGATATACATTAATGATATGGTTACAGTTAATATGGATTCTGTATATATAGAGAATAAAACTGCCTTAAATGCATTGGCCTATGGGCTTGGGAGATGCATTATTTGCATTTGTTCATTAGCACGGTGTGGTCCGTTTTAGAAATATGAGCATATACCCTCGTGTTATGGACACAAGCCATCAATGAATAAATATGGGGTGCAATATTTAAACTAAGTGCAATTTATGATGTGCACAACACATTATTATTTTAACTATTAAATATAACCACCTAGGTTAGGGTAGCATCACCCTAACCCAAATTATGTCCTGCCAAGTCCATGTTCCAGTAATCTGAATATATCAGCCTGACTTCCAGCCTTGGCAAGACACTTTTTTATTGCTTACGTTTTTTCCAAGACTCAACCAATGAAGAACTTTCTCAGCCTTCTTCCCACTCAAAGCTCAGCGAACTTGACATTCATTTCAAAATAGTGTTCTGTTATGCAGGTCCCTGCATTGGGTTGACTTTATCTGCTGAGCATTGTGGAATCGGCTAAATATTCATGAACCCTGATCTATTGTGCCAAGGTTCAGAAATTACATCCTTTCTGATCCCAATGTTAAATGTCAGCCCGACATGCACGCTCATAAAACCTCTTATCATCCTGGCCCATAAGGCCTTTACTGACTGTCAACACTCAGACTACTTATTGAACATAACCAACTGTATGTCAGCACTATCCAGCAATCACTGTAAAATTCGAATTTAATGCCGTTTATGTCTGATAATATATTTAAAATGTTATTTATGTAAGGCACATGTGGGTAGCCGTTGTTGCTTAGGGATGTATTATTATTGTTATAAATTATTAACTGCCTATCATCTCCCACCATTGTCAGGATCGATAAAGTGACTCACACTTTGTGAGGAATCAACAATGGTTATCCTGTGGAGGCAACGACCCACACTTTTGAAATGTGGGATTTCAGCCGTTGTCTCTGAACCACCAACAGAGATGAACACCGTCCATTGATCATTTGACACTGTGGAGACAATTTAAATGTGCTTTGTTTCGAAATTAAAAAGGTTTGTGGAGCAGGAGGGCTCTTTATGTTACGATATGGATCAGAGAGTCAGGCCCGAACTCAGCCGCTTGAAAGCCGTTTTCATTTGAGCAGAGGTGCTTAAGATGGATTATGGCAATACAGGATAAGCAAAGCAGAAATCTGGAAGAGAGCATTGCAGTAAATTGTTATGATTCGTCAACGAATGGTTGCATTGGGGAGGTTACGTGTGCATGATGGGGGAGTCATGCTTGTACTGTACAGCATCCGCAGGATCTTATGGAACATAGAAAGCGTTGGCGAGGTGTGTGTGTGTTTATCACACACTGCTTTGGTCATGGTAACATTGATCTTTATCCTGAATTGTGACTATATATGTAAATAAAGCCCTAATGTGTCCCGTGTGTTGCTGGGCATAGGTGGGCTGATTGACAAAGGCCACCATGAGGGTCGAGCATCGCGGGCGCTGCACGAGGTGCTGGCTCTGGACAAGGCGGTGCAGCGCGCCCACGAGCTCACCGACCCAGCCAACACGCTGATCGTTGTCACGGCAGACCACGGCCACACGCTCACCATCGGGGGGCACCCCAGCAGAGGCAACCCCATCCTGGGTGAGTGCAGCTTGCTCAAATGAACAACGAGGCAGTGCGCATTTCCTCTTTAAGAATTTGGCAAAACAGACGATATCATGGGACCTCCTTTGCCAGTGCCAAAATATGAGAATAGGTTTTCCCCTTTTTTCTGGCAAAAATACAGGTGTTAAGATGTTAAAACACCAATCTGAAACCTTTTACAAGGAATCATGTCGGCATTAACCACAATACTTATGGTCAGAATGGAAAAAAAACTCTGATAATATATGCATTATCTTTGAAACTGATTGTTAGACCAGAGGACCAATGAGTTTCTGGCACCAAAACAGGTGTTTTTTTGCCAGAAAAAAAGGGAAAACCTATTCTCAAAACAGACGATGTTTGAGAGTGGCGGGGCTCTCCCATCGCCGTTGAGCATAGGGTCCCGCATCGCAACGTTCCGGCACACCTAGCACCATTCTATATCGGACGCCTAGGAGTTGAGATTCATGGAGCGAGGCTAACCGCCTTGATTTCAAGGTGCTTCCCGCTGGCGGTGGAATTCCACCCTTCACTACCACTGTTGGGGCTTTACACTAGCATCCAGGTTATTTGAACTCATGCCACTCCACGAGCGAAGAACCGGGTTTTACTCCAAATTCTTCATGCTCGAAAAACGATCCGGTAGGTACAGGGAATACTCGATCTGAGGAAACTTGCTTCTCGACATATAGCATTTACAGGTGGAGTTTCTTTAGTCCACCACAGGAGTGCTCCAGCCAGGGGATTGGCTTGCCACCATAGAGTTCGCCAAGGGTGTTCACCTAGGTGTTGGCAACCCTCATTGTGGCCCTATCTTGACGACTTTCTCTGAGGGCGCCATTGGTGACCAGGCTTCAGAGGGATATATCCACGGTCATCTCACTATTGGAGACACACAGCTGAGTCATCAACCGGGTGAAGCGTTTTCTGTTGCCGAACCCAGCAGCTTTACCATCTGGGCGCTGATATTTGAACGGACCAGCAGATGATGTGGCTTCTGGATCAGAAGGAGCTCCTGAAAACTGGGCTGGCCCATTCTATTGCCACCAATGCAGTTGTCCATGCAAGAGTAATTGTGGTTCTGCTGGGGCACACGTCATGAACCACAGAGGTTATTCTCTGGGCGAAGTACCGAATGAAACATTTACAAAAAGCTCTGCTACGCTGCTGCGACCCGTGGGGTGGCAACCTCCAACAGGTGGTGCGGCTGCCACTGATCTGCAGAGCCTTCAATTGGGACGCCAGCTCTTGGGGCTGGAGTGCTCACCTCATCTCCAGGGGGAAAATCAGTGCAGGCGAGCTGGCCGACCCTTGCAAAGGGCAGCACCAACCTGCTCGAAGTGCACGTTATACATCTAGCGCTGTGGCATTTCACACCACAGTTGATTGGCAGGTCAGTCCTGGTCCACTGCAACGACATCATGGATCCCCCCCCCCCCCCGATTCTGTCCTCTTATGGAGGAGGCCTAGATCCTGCTGAGTTGGGATAGAGGCCATGCGCTTGACTCTGGAGGATGACCCACGTGGTCGGGGGTCAACTTGCTCGGCCGCAGCTGGCTCGATCCACGAGTGGCAGCTGCACCCCGAGGTGTTCACCTCCCTTCTGGATCACTTCGGCCCCCTTTATCGCCTCTGCGAAAGGCTGCCTGCTCACGAGGTTGTCCGTGACCTCTGCACCTCGATCGCTTTCTCACCGAAACCTGTGGGTCCGTGACCTGTGTAGCCCTGCTCAGATTGTGTTTACGATCAGCAAGTTTGTAACCTCGGTGGCCTGTGTTAAGGACCTGAGAGCGTAGGATCACACCCCTGCCTTCATGACTAAGTACTGGAGTCTGGACCGTCATTACTAACTATTAGGACTGTGTTTATGTTGCTATAACAAGTACTTCTTATTGTCATTACCTTTGATCTGGTTGATGTGACTTGTGTTTTCTCATTGCCCTGTAACCCCTTGGAAACCCTTGCATATTACCTGGTGTTGTTCTTTGCTAATCCTTGTTACTTCTTTTCTCTTTACCTAGAGCCTTGCCCAGGTATCTGGTTATCTTGATAGCACTGTGGTTTGAGACGAATGCGACTGAGACTTTGTATACTTGGACCGTGGTTTATTTTACATTTGGACAGTGGCATTCAGGAGTTGAGGTTAATAATACATAAAAAAAAGCTGTGACTGGGCTCCATCTCATATTCATTGATCGCTCTATGCTTGTGAACACTCTTTAGATACGTTTTGGTTTGAGCCTTTTGGAGTTTCTCAAAAGTTGCCTTTTAAAGGTGATAAACCCTCCCTTCCAAACCCCCAACCCTACCCTCATGAGCATGGTGAAATCTGGACTGTGGACTTGTGGTGGTGATGGTGGTGGAGGATTATGCCATCCATGTGCCAAAATGCAAGACATTTCCCAATGCAACAATGTGCTTATTGCAGGGCTAGTTGACACGGAAGTGAGCGATGTGGACTACCTACCCTTCACCACGCTCGCCTATGCCAATGGGCCTGGGCACAGCACACGTCGGGACATTGTGGATACAGGTAAATTGCTGAATCATGGATGATTCATTGTGATCCTACTGAATCGCACGAGGCGTCAATTTGTTAATTGATAGGCACAATGTATTAAGTCTGCCATGAAGGCACAATTATGCTGTAAACAGTAATATACGCAAGTTCACGTTTGTTTAACCAGATAATAACTCAAGAGATCAGAATAATTTCGTTGTCAAGAATGACTTGGGTCACCAAAATTACAACTAATATATAAATCGGAGCAAAACAACCAAATATAAATTAAAGCAGAAGCAACCGTGTTACAAAGGAAATCCAAAAACTGCACAAACATGATATTAAATAAAATTCGCAGCCTGCATGTGTTTTGAGTGGGACCATCCCCCCCTCCTTTCATGCATCCCTCCCTCTCAGAGTACCCAGAGAAAACCCATGCGAGGGGAGATAACACTCAATCTCGATACAGATGGTAATTAATCCACTTTCTGTCCTGTTGTACCCTGGAGAGCTAGAAGGTTACCTTAACGTCCATGGGGAGTTTCAGAAGTTTGAGTGATCTAATAACCCTTACCTCCAGAGTGCATGATTACAGGCACTCATCTATGTGCTTTCCCCTTATTAGCTGCGGACGACTACAGAGTGAAGAGCGCGGTGCCACGGACAAGAGAGACGCACAGCGGGGAGGACGTCCCCGTGTTTGCGAGCGGTCCCATGGCCCACCTCCTGCGTGGAGTGCAGGAGCAGACTTACGTGGCCCACGTTATACGCTATGCCGCATGCCTGGGCAGCTATCGTGAGAGCCACTGCACCCCAGAGGGCAGGACGTCCAGTTAAAAGGCCTTGGCATTCTCTTCTTCTTTGTTGATGTATGGAGAAACAACTTTGAATTTACGTTGCTGCCTTAGCATTTGGTGTTTGGGTAGCGTTCAATGGTCAGTTCTGGATGACCGTAGTCGCACACTGTAGATTTTTACATTTTCCATTCGTGCATCACGTATCCGTATCTGTATCCGTATCTGTAATAGTTTGTGCCGATGCGGTTTAAGGTTGCCCATAAACTACGTTGAAGATCGTAGCTGTTAGCTCTTTGTGCTCTTTAATGAGGTGTTTGTGACTTAGTCGCCTTTGTGCACAGCAGTGCATCTGCTGTAGAACATTTCCCTACTACATAGCAGCCACCCATTTGTACAGGGGCGGTTTCTTCATTAGGGCGATTGGGCGACGCACCACCAATGTCATTCAACCACAGTCACGCTAGCCGTCACTGTGCAGCCTCTGGATATAGTCCAATCAGCGTCATGTCACGTTCTGTGGAGTACCACCTCTTTTGGGGCGATTTCACTCCGGCTGAGAATCGCCCCGAGTGGCCCCATAGACTTACATTCAAAGATGTTTTTTTTCGAACGGGGGCGCTCCAATGCATTATCTATGGCTTCCGGGAGGGCGAGCCCCAACGTGCTTACGTCATCATACGTGCTAACGTCATCATACGTGCTAACGTCATCATACGTGCTTACGTCATCATACGTAAGCACGTTTCATCCAACAATATAATTTATCGCTACCTAGTGGAATCTTTAATAAAATAAACTTGAGTGGTTTGTTTTAATAGTGAGTATATAAACAAACAAGATGTATTGTAAGAGTCACTTTATTTTGCATTAATATTAAAGAAGTGAATTTGCCTTTACATGCTTAAGCTGTTAATTTATTCATTGCATGGGTGGACCTTATCCTTATCAATCATCCAGACATTTGCCCCCCCTGAGAGATTTTGCAGGAGCCGCCACTGCATTTGTATACTTTAGGGATGAGATTGGGATTCTAAAACGTCAAATACAGGATACCCTGAATATTCGCGGGAGCACTTTCCTGGAGAATATTAAAACTCAAAGCTTAAAAAATAGGTTTAGGGAGATTAAAGATATTGCATTTAAACATAAACTGTATGTATATATTAATGAATAAATTGTATGATATTTTGTGTTATTTAACATACCTTTAATAATGATGAATATAAATATTTTAAATATTAGAGTTAAATAAATTAATAGTGCACGGTATTCCCCCCCCCCTTCTCTCTCCCCCCCTACTACCGAGTCCTATATAACCTCATGCCACGGCAGATCTCTCGCCTACTTCAGCAGTTTTTTCTTGCTGTTGTTGTCCTACCTGATGACGATTGCTTGTGTTGCGATCGAAACGTCGTGATCTATTATTTTTCTACCTACGTGACTTTACCGAAAGAACCGAAGAGTATGGATTCCTGCAGTCACAAAAGCTTCAAATCAAGATTGCACGGTATTATTTTAAACTTACCTTTTAAAACGTCACTTTGCTTAGGGGCCATGGTCAACGGTAGCACAGCATGTAATTAAAACCAAAACATTTGCAAAGGAACACCACCTGCGTGTGAATGGTTCGGCAGACAAAGTCTTGGGAGAGCGGCGTTGCTGGGGCAAACGTTCTCACTCTCGCCATTTACGCTGCTGCCTTTCGTCACTTCAGTACCTCCTGTCGGGCAGTTATGTGCTACGGCCGTGAATGTTTCAAGCGCAACCCCGCAAATTTCACAGAGCACTGCAATAAAGTTGTCGCGAATACGCAAACACCGCGATTAAAAAAAGTTGTATTGTATTTTCTTTGAAACATTTCGGATATTTTTTCGTAATTTTGGGATTTCGTATAATGTTTTCTTAAGTACTTAGTAAAATGTCCTCGTACTAACAATAGTGGCGTCACCTGATACCACGTGACATCCCTTTTATTCGGAAAAGCTTCGAAGTGATGGCATGAAAGTCACATCATTTCCGTTTGACGTGTTTTTGAATCAATATTGTCCGAAATTTCGTGTACACTCGATTTTCATATTTTTTGTACTAATCTGATAAGGTGTACCTGTATTTTTTTACTTGCTTTGAGCAGCACACTGCACATTGGGTTCCATTTCATTAGGCGTATAGATAACATCAACAGCAGAGCAGGTTTCCCCTGGCTCTTTGAACCCTTGATAAGTGTGGGGGGGGGGGGGGGGGGGAAAGTTGGTCAAGGTGCAACCCTGCAATTTCTGGCTCACGCCACTCCTGGCAGAAGGGCCTCTATTTAGATGGAGCTCTGGAGGGGCCTACACTCGAGGGTATTTGGCCTTCTCTTCCACACTGGCCAGACGTTTTTTTGACCCTGGATTCATGCACTTAGGTTTGTAAAAAAAAAAGGGGGAAAACCATTTCAATGAAAATTGCGTAAGTACTATACAGTAAGTGTATTTTCAACAGCTCTAAAGTGAAATTAAGATTTAAAGCTTTCGTGACTACAGGGATTCATATTCTTGGTTCTTTCGGTAAAGTCACGTAGAAGGAAAATAATAAAAGAATTAAAATAAAACAATAACATTTTCACGACGTTTCGATTGCAACACAAGCAATCATCATCAGGTGTGAAACCCACAGCAAGAACATTTGAAAAAAGTGGCGTTTTTTACGTGAGCACCACGGACAGCAACTGGCGGTTGTTCAGACACGTCGTGAGAATTGTATTGTTTTATTTTGTATTATTTCCCTTCTATGTGACTTTACCGAAAGAACCAAGAATATAGCTCTAAAGTGTTAATCGTTTAAGTCATTGTGCTTAAAGTAACGTAGCTGTTTTAAAACAGCCCTCATAATAATGCCAATGTTTGTCGGAAAATATAAAATACGGTAAAACCCTCTGATCCACTATGCGATTGTGGGCGATTCTCCGTATGATAAATGTCCTTTTTAGTGATACCGTGTTGGCACTAATAACAAAATGCAACAAAAGTTGTCAATAACGCTGTTTGAAAAGTTTCTACTGTAAGATGCAACGTTTCTAGTCCTGTGTAGCAAAACGGAATTGCCATGGCTTTGCAGGTTGTTTTATGTTCGCACACTAAAATACAATTTAACAGCCGAAGATGGCTGTTAATTACGGGCACAGATTTTATTGATGTATATATATAATTATTTTAAAATTAAATGCCAATTCTTCACGGCTGTGCTCTAATTCAATGTTATCATATTCGTGAAATTGATAATGTGCATTCAAATGCCAGTATTCATTCTCAGTCAATTAACTCTCTCACATTTTGTGGCATTAAAATCAAACTTTTAACTAACACCATGAGGTGACATTTTCTTATTAATGTTGACTTTTCGATTTTTATGCTTTGGGCAATTTACTTTTTAAAAGCATAACAAGTTCATATGCAGTTTGTGTGGTTATTTGCCCTACACATGTAACCGTATTACAATTGCATATATCGTCATGGTCCTGTGATAAATTCGAAATCTGAATAAACTTGATTTATTGATGAACAAATTGTACACTGTCGGTGGAGATATTTAAATACCGTTAAACTATTAATTCATATTTATATAGCATCATAAATATGACTCCATCTCAAGACACTGTATAAAAAGTGGGCAACTTTATATAGAATTAGGCAGTTATTCAAAGATGGGGGGAAAAAGGTATTGGATGGCTGGGGAAAGGGGGTTCAGGATTGAGGGCAGAAGGAGGAAAATAAGCAAATCCCTACTGAAGTAAGATGTCTTAAATGCTGGAGCAGAGAGGGCACAACGAGGAGTAGAGAGATGAGAGGGGGGTGCATGGTGGGGGGGGGGGGGGAAGAGTTAGATCAGAGGGTAGGCTGGAATGAAACCAAGGAGGACCTCGAAAATTTCGGAGTGCGAACTTAAAAGATTTGTCTGGATATGGAGTCGGTATAGAGAATGGCGTTAGTGGTGTCATGTGGTGCTGCGAGGTTGAGATATGTGGACAGAGAAGTACCTATGTTTTGATCAACATTTCCATATCAATATGTTTAATGTGAACCAAATTCAGTTCCATGCTACAGAAGGTTAAGATATGCTACATCAATAAAGATGTTGGGTGTATTACATGTTCTTTAATTAACCAAGCATACATTTTTTCTAGTGCTTAATTATACCGTTGATAATTTTTTTATCATTTACGGTTGGAAATTTCTGAGGACTGACATGTTAAAATATTGTCATGCATTAATATTTTTGTCTTATTCTTTGTGACAGGCATAGCCAGCATAACTAATCTGAATTGCAGGGAAAGTATCAATCATTCACTTAAAAGTGCTGATCGACATGAATTAGCCCGTTGTCCAATGAGCACGCTGCGCACACTTGACCCCCCCCTCAAGACCACAAACTGCCTTCAACATCCAATCGGAAAATTACGAGTTCAAATACTGGTTAGGGGTTGACTTAGCGCATCAACCCTCCGGGGTCAATTAAATTGAGCAGAACTTTGTGGAGAAGATTTGCCCACCCAATCCGAATCTGCACTTTTAATAACGTATTTGTATGTATGGGGGTGGAATAGTGCTGCAGGTGTGAGCGCATGAGACTGTGAACCTGGCGACACCTACAGTGAGGGAACAAAGTATTTGATCCCCTGCTGATTTTGTACGTTTGCCCACTGACAAAGAAATTATCAGTCTATAATTTTAATGTTAGGTTTATTTGAACAGTGAGAGACAGAATAACAACAAAAAATCCAGAAAAACGCATGTCAAAAATGTTATACATTGATTTACATTTTAATGAGGGAAATAAGTATTTGACCCCTCTGCAAAACATGACTTAGTACTTGGTGGCAAAACCCTTGTTGGCAATCACAGAGGTCAGACGTTTCTTGTAGTTGTAATTAAGGACTCCTTCACACGATGTCACTCTCCGTTGGTCCTTTATTGATGTTCTTCTCCTCCGCACCCCACTGGCCTCCTCCTCGGCCCAGCGTCGTCTCTCCTCGCGCCCCGCGCACTCTGCAGCCACCCTGCTGCTACGTGTGCTCCCGCACACTCTGCAGCCACTCTGCTGCTCCGTGTGCTCCCGCACACTCTGCAGCCACTCTGCTGCCCGTGCACTCCGCACGCTCCGTGCAACCTCGCACGCTCCGCTAGCCACTCTGCTAGCCCCGTGCAACCTCGCACGCTCTGCTAGCACTCTGCTAGCCCCGTGCAACCCCGCACGGCTCCACTCTCTCTCCGCACACCGCTAGCTGGCGGTGTGCCAAGCCCTATCAGCCTCGCGGCTGATGGCACGGCGGCCACCCGACGTGATCTCGCCTCTTCACTCCCCCGACTGCCTAGATCTCTTCCGGGCTCCCTCCTATAACCTCTCACCCACGTGACCCTGACTCCTCTCTCTCGGATCGTCACATCCGGCCTTCCCATTTACGCTCGCATTACATGACCCCCCCCCCCCCCTAAAGAAAAAATCCAGCCATCCTCGGCTAAAACAGGACAAAATAATGCGAGCGAAGGCATTACAATCAAGAATCACCCCAGACACAACGGAGATTATAACAACAGATGTAACGAAAGGGAAGGGATCAGGATCCGGAACAGAACACCGGCCCGTCCTCCGCGCAACAAGCAACAATAATTAAGAATGGAACAATGCACAACAACGGCAACCGACACACAAGAACGGCCGATGCGCATAACCCAGGAATGCGGTGTCTTAGAGCGTGTCCGTGTTGCTGTTCCATCCGCTCGGCTCAAGTCCAACGTCAGAGAGCAACTGGTAGAGCAGGAGTGACGAACGGGCGCTCAATTCCCCCTTCAAGTCCACATACGGTTAGCACGCCCGGTAACACCCAGTGTGGCAGGCGCCGAAGATCTGTGACGAGAAAGAGAATCCAACCCCCTGAGGCACAACACAACAAACGCACATCCGCATGTCGTACACGACAGCCACCCGGCCCCAGGGTAGTGGAGATGATTGAAATGCGGCCCGCATAAAGAAAACCCCAATAAATACCCAAAATAGACGCGATGGATGCCCCAGTATTTACATTTTAACAACAATATTATTTACACGTGACAACAACAAAAAATATTTCCTGCTCTTGCCCACCAGCAGTCCTCCCTTGAGGACCAGCAAAGACATCTCACGTACACAGCATGTACCCACTGTCACTCTCAACAAAGCCCCCAGCCACACACCCTCGCGTGGAGAGAGCCACGCTCCCCAGCGGTAACATTTAACCCGCCTTCACCCTCACCGTGGTCGTCCAACCACAGCAACATCCACTGACCATATACTCGGCTAGTGCAATTTCGGGGACGAGCAACAACTCAGCCATGCTCCTCCCTTACTATCCCATCAGCGATGAACACACACCAGCATCTTATAGTCTGACGCTTTATAGCCAAGGGAAGGTTCATCCCTCGGCAAGGCCAGACCCCATCAACCTCCCCACGGGCAATGTTCCCTTACACATTCAATAACGCCCTAACCCAGAGCGGAACAAGTCCGCGGCCCTTCCCGCTGGAGGACCCGCAAGGGGAATCCCCGCCCCATGCCAGCCAGGTCACCCCGTTCGCTGCCACGTAACGGAACCTCTACTCCTGAATCCCGTGAGCCCCTGGCACACCAGGTTCAGTCTGCCACCGCACAACTGAACCACGACTCCCCGAGCCATATGAGCCCACGGCCCATTAGTTTGAGACATACCACGGAGTGTCTCGCCTCCGGGCTGTCAGGTCAGCCATCGGCCATAGGCCGATGTGACCACAACTCGTGCATCACCCACTCAACAATGGCAGGCATATACTGATGAAATATTTGCCCCAGAATAGTACCCAGCCAGCATCTCCGTCCCAAAATGCTGGTGCAATGACACGCCCCCCTAAGTCAGCCACGTGCCACTATGCTCCTGTTACCCCGATGGGCGCCAACACGCCAGCATTGCACACAACACGCAATGCACGCACACAAGTTAGAGCGTAACACGAGAGTCAAGGGATGCTATCCATAACCACATCCCCGCGGCTCGACGTGTATACTCAAAATGGTGGCGGCCTGCGCGAAGCGCCCCACCGAGGTTTTTCCCGCGCGCTCAAAATGGCAGCCCTCTGCGGCAAGCGCATCCCCGCGATAATCCGGCGCGCACACAAAATGGCGGCCACCTTGCGCCAAGCGCATCCCCGCAATTCCCTGCGCGCGCTGAAAATGGCGGGCCAACGTGCGA